TTTAAGCTCAGCTTTTCAAAGTTCAACGATAATTCTTCTGCTGCCACTTAATTTAAAGACGATTTGATGTACGTAGATCCTTATTTTCCGTATAAAAAATTATTTTTATTTCATGAGGGACAGAACAGGGGACAATTTTTAAGATAAAATTAATATAGTGTAAAGATGGGAAAACAAAAATTAGAAAGAGTTACGCATTCAACATTTGAAGAGTTAAAAAAACATAACAGCTAATTAAGTAAAGTCTATGTTATGTTATGGAATCTATATGAAAAAATGCGTAATTGAAGCTCAATTTTCCCACGAATTCTGAGATTAAAAAGCCTCAGCTCTGCTCCATAGGAATTTGGTATTTACTCGACAACTCCCACCTCGTAGAGTCGCATTGTGACACAAGTTCTGTTTAATATGGGGAGCCCGAACGCGTACACCCGGGCTAGGAACAAAAATTTCCCGATTCCCCCAAACCCAATCGTCGGTTGCACTGGACTAGGTGTGAGCACAGATCCCTCTCTCTAGTGAAATGAGCTGGCGCAGCCTCAGGCAGCCGTTCCCCAGGGCTGCGCACGTCTCAGTATAATTTTCCTCAGTTGCGACTCTGTCTTTTGACGGAGCCGCCCCTGAGCGCATTCTACCCAAAGACAGAGACGCATCACAGAGATGATAAATAAACGTGTTACAAACTACGTTATAGTAATTTGGTATTTACTCGACTCCCCACAAAGTCGCATTGTGACACAAGGTCGGTTTAATATGGGGAGCCCGAACGCGTACACCCGGGATAGGAACAAAAATTTCCCGATTCTCCCAAACCCAATAGTCGGTTGCACTGGACTAGGTGTGAGCACAGATCCCTCTCTCTAGTGAAATGCGTGGGCGCAGCCTCAGGCAGCTATTCCCCAGGCCTGGGGACCTCTCAGTATGATTTTCCTCAGTTGCGACTCTGTCCTTTATACAGATTAGATACCATACCGAAGATCTCATCCAAACAATTAGCATGAAAGTATTTATAAAAAAAAAAAAAGGCATAGAGAGGCAACCTTACGGCGGTGGGCAAGTGAACTGCCAGATCAGGACGAATCAGCACTCTACCCAAAGACAGAGACGCAGCTGATGATAAATAAACGTGTAAACGGAGCGTGTACACCCGGGCTAGGAACAAATATTGCCCGAAGACCCTCAGCAGTCGGTTGCGTTGCGCTGGCCTCGGTGCGAGCACAGGTCCCTCTCTATGGTGCAATGAGAGGGTGCGGCCTTGGGCAGCTGTTCTCCAGAGCTGGGCACCTCTCAGTATAATTTTCCTCAGTTACGACTCTTTCTTTCGACAGAGCCGCCTCTGAGCGTACTCAGCCCAAAGACAGAGATGCAACTGAGAGATGATAAATAATGTATGACAAACTACTCGAGAAAACGTTTTGTATTTACTCAACGCCCCATGAGATCTGTTTGTGACACAAGGTCTGTTCAATGCGAGGAGCGCCAGCGGGTATACCCGGACTAGGAAGAAAAATTGCCCACAGCTGCCGCAACCGTCGGTTGCACTGGCCTCGGTGCGTGCACCGATACCTTTGTCTAGTGTAATGAGAGAGCGCTTCCTCGGCAGCTGTTCCCCAGGGCTGGGCACCACTCGATATAATTTTCCCCAGTTGCGACTCTGTCCTTTGACGGAGCCGCCCCTGAGCGCACTTTGCACAATCACAGAGACGCGACTGAGAGAAGATAAATAATGTGTTACAAATTACTCAAGAGAGCAGTTTACACACTAAGTATTTACTCTGTCTCCCTACTAAGACTAGTTGTGACACAAGGTCAGTTTTTAATGTGGGGAACATAACACGTACATCCGGGCTAGGAACAAAAATTGCCGCAGCCCTGTTTTGACTCGAGCTGTTCATATCTTGTCCAAACCGGTCAAAGCTGGTCATAGCTGGTCTTAACTGGTCATAGCTGGTTCAAGCTGGTCAGAGCCGGTCCAAGCTAGTCATAGCCATGATACTACAAGCGCAGTGACGAATCCCTGTTCCCGGTAAGTATCAATGTGTAACAAACTATTCGAGAGGGCAGTTTGCATTTACTTGATCCCCCACGATATCAAATTCGGTCGGTTTAATGTGGGTAACCCGAGTTAGTACACCCGGGCTAGGAGCAAAAATTGCCCGCAGCCCTGAAACTGTGGGTTGCGCTGGCCTCGGTGAGAGAACCGATCACTCCCTCTGGTGCAATGAGAGGGTGCGGACTCGGTCAACTGTTCCCCAGTGTTGGGCACCTCTCAGTATAATTTTCCCTAGTTGCGACTCTGTCTTTTGACGGAGTCGCCCCTGAGTGAACTCTGCCCAAGAACAGAGTCACAAGTGAGAGATAATAAATAGGATGTTACAAACTACTCAAGAGAGCAGTTTGTATTTACTTGACCCCCCCCCTCTACACACACACTGTCAAGTTGTGGTGTGACACATGGGCGGATTTTAACCTAGGGGACCGAGTGTCTTCACTTAGGCTGCTAGTCTTAGCTGGCCATAGCTTGTCTGAGCTGGTCAGAGCCTGCCTTAGCTGGTCATAGCTTGTCAGAGCCGGTCCAAACTAGTCATAGCCGTGATACTACCAGCGCAGGGACGGTAAGTAACAGAGTGAGTAGACCACCCAAGAGAGCGGTTTACACGCTCCCACTCAAGATAGCCGTGTACACACTAGGTATTTATTGTGTCTCCCCATTAAGACAAGGTCAGTTTTTAAGTGAATCTTAATAATATAAAATATTAAAACTGAATCCACAAACAGAGCTCAATGTATTTATTAAAAATCATATATATATATAAGTTAGATATAATAAAATTTCAAAGATACCCCGTATGAATAGCCAATAACTGAAAGATTTTTAAACTTCCATTTCTCTTCCTTCCTTTTTCTTTAAAGTTGAAAAATCTTTAAGCTACCTTTTTATTTTATCTATAACCCCTTGCAAGGTTAATTCTTGCAAGGAGAAATGGCTATTCTTATGTGGGGGTATCTTTGAATTTCAGTCATATGTTATTTATATATACTGTTGCTTATATCTGGTCGTTTGATCATCTCTCTCTCGATATATATATATTCGAATGTATGAGGGTCAAGCAGATCAGTTCCCAGGAAACTGACAGCCCGACACCGGCACATGAGATTTGATTGTAGTAGTGAAATTTTCGTGCAGGACGATCCACACCTTTTTGAAGGGCCGAATACAGAGACCTGGTGCACTAAGGGCCACAAGGTCCCCAAACGTCCCTCCGCAGGTTTTGAATTCATAGTTCTCCTTCTCCTAGACCAGTTAGCATCCAAGGCTATAGAACCCAGTCTGTTCTGCTATTTACCCATAGCTGGAGGGAGAAGAGTATTCACACATTTCCCAAGGGTATTAGCACATTAGTGAATGTAATGGGTTCGACTAGAATTCGAACTCGGCTCTCCGATTCCTCAATCCAAGCCGCTATCCATTACTTCACCACCGTCTCTCTCTCTCTCTCTCTCTCTCTATATATATATATATATATATATATATATATATATATATATATATATATATATATATATATAGTTGTATATTTAGGTAGCAATCCTTCGTTTATGCATGTTTTATTAAAAACGACAGACAAGATACTACGGTTAAGCTTTTTATTTAATTTTTCTTGTGTTCGAACAAGAGCTTTCTTTTCTGGACAAAGAGTGTGTAAAAACTGTTCAAATATTTTATATTTCCGAGCGCTTTCGGCTATACCTTTAGCCATAATCAAGGATGATTCAATTTTTCAGCTTAATTGAGTGTGTACATTATGTGTATGTTTTAGTGTGTTGTAGAGATGTTTTTAATATTATAAAATGGGAAAAGTCCGACAATTATTTTAAGACATTTTATGTTTATACATTCTTCTTATAGATACAAATATTTAAGTGAAATATTAAAAAGGCACCTCAGGCTATATGACGGTTCCGTATAGGATACAGTTTCGATTCCTGTCGGAGGACGAATATTTTCTATGAAAAATTTCTCAGACATTAAGGCCGGTAAATGTTGTTTAATACTGTTTAATAATAAACAAAATGAGTTAACAAAAATTTGAAACAAAGAATAGGTACACAATAAAGTTATTTGTATATTCTGGGAAGATGCATAATGGGTTGACTAAATAAGTCTCTGGATTCAATTTCTTAATCTCTAATGTCTTCCGGTACCAACCCATATTTATATGGTCGGTAGTCCGCTTATATAAATATATATATATACACAACAATATGTTTATTATAAACAGAGAATACTTAAATATTTGTATCTATGAGTAAAATGCTTTTATATATATATATATAAGTTGTGAATACATATTTTAGAAAGTTATTTTTAAAGAGTTCTTCTTATCGCCTACCGATCTGAATATTCGAGAAATTTTATTAAAGAAAATCATGGATTCGAACTTGCCAGTGGGCGCTTATTTTCTTTAATAAAATTTCTCGAAAATTCGGGCAAGTAGACGAAAATAGACACAGGCAAAATAAATAAATACACTATTTAATAAATAAAATCAAATATGAGTATTCACTAAAAATAACGCTTAAGTGAAAAATTCTGTTGGATTAATAAATAAAAAATCCATTACTTCTTTAGAAATTGTTTTGTTTACATTTGGATACGAAAAAAATAACAGATATAAAAATTTCGAGAATCTATGACGAGAAAGGACCTATTCAGTCATTCGTAATAGACAATGTCCTTCGTGATTGATTTGGTGTAAGCACGTCGGATTTGACGACAATTTCCCCTGTCAATGTGAACGCAGGTTCAAATGTTGTCCTAGGCGCATTTTTTTTTCTCGAATATAAATATATTGTTTTAAAATCGAAACGGAGCGTCTACTCGAAAAATAACGTTTAAGTGATAAATATATATATATATATATATATCTGTTATTTCTTTGCAGAAATATGCTGTTCCATCCATGTATGACGTCACGAGTCCTGGTCATTACATGCAGCCGACATCTGGAGCAATTACGAAGATCGACGAAGATGACATCGACAAGAACGAACCCCCGAAAGGAAGTGTTCAATATCTGAATCCAAATTGTGTTCTATTGACGTATTTCACGGGAGATACCTCCATGGTTGTGGATGAGCACTTTACCAGATCGCTTAATCAAATCAGCAGCTACCATCCGACAGACAGACAAAACACTAAAACTTCATATACACGACCAGGTAAGACATAAGGATATGTCAATTAATATGTTATCATTTGTTTTTTTTTTTTTTTTTGTTGAATTAATGACGCTTAAAATAATGTCTACCTGCAACGCGTGGCCGTACGTGCGTTTACGCATGCGCGTAAACTGCATATGCAACGAAGCGTTCGAATTATGTTATGACACAACTATTTGCTCCTGCCTCGATAGGAAGGCTGATCAGTCAGACAAGGTCAAAATGGCAGCCGATGTACAAAACGATCTCAAGAGCGTCGTTAACTGGGAAAAAAGATGGTATGCCAATTTTAGCACCTCCAAAACTAAATTTCTGTCCATTAATCATCTGAGAGACAACTCTCTGCCTTCCATCAACATGGCTGATGCTATCCTCCAAGGAAGTGACCCATTCACGGGCTAACGTTCTCAACTGACATGAGGTGGAAAGACTACATTGACACCATCGCCAGATCAGCTGCTAAGAAAGTCAGTTCACTGTGTCAGTCATCTGAAATAGAAAATTATATTATATATGGGTGACAAGACTTTCGGACCACCCCGGATACTGTTTTATACCAAGGGGGGAATTTTGAGATGCCGAATTATTAGTAATATATTTTTAAATAGTAAATAATAAATGTAAGACATTTACTGCATTATAGTAATTTACAATTACTTTCGAATTATATTCTATATGTTTAAAAAGACATTTGAAGCAAAACTATTTAAAAAGTTGCAAGAAATTACATATTCATCGAGCTGTTTTTTTACGGTTTATCAACCATTTCTCTCCGGAAACATTCCGTAAACTCTTTTGCAAATATTGAAGTCTACCATTCGTCCATGCTTAGAATATTGCTGCCATATATAGCCCGGTGCTCCTGCTATTTACTTGGAGCTTGTCGATAAGATCCAAAGAAGAATCAGCAATATTATTCGTCCTGATCTGGCAGTTCACTTGCCCACCGCCGTAAGGCTGCCTCTCTATGCCTTTTTTTTTAAATAAATACTTTTATGCTAATTGTTTGGATGAGCTCTTCGGTATGGTATATAATTTGTATAAAGGACAGAGTCGCAACTGAGGAAAATTATACTGAGAAGTGCCGGCCCTGAGGAACAGCTGCCCGAGGCCGCGCCTTCTCATTGCCCTAGAGAGAAGGATCGGTGCTCGCACCGAGGCCAGCGGAACCGACGGTTGCGGGGTCTCGGGGAATTTTTGTTCCTTGCCCGGGTGTACACGCTCGGGCTCCCCACATTAAACCGACCTTGTGTCACAACCTGACCTTGTTGGGGGTGGTTGAGTAAATATCTACACTGTATGAATTTAAGCGCAATACCAGAATGGTAGAGAGATCGCATTAATTTACAGTTAAGCTAGCTAGATCTAGCCGTAATAGTTTCTTATCCCGCACTTCTCGCTTGTAGAGATCCCTCCCGGCTCCTTGCTTCCCAATCAACTTTAATCTGCAAAAATGTAAATGCAATGTCAATCGCTATCTACTGTCTTCCTGGTTGCTCTTTTCTCTTTCTCATAGTTACTTATGTTCGTGTTCTTAATTCCCCCCACAACCTGTAACCCCTTGCGTGCTGGTGGGTGTATACTATATTACTACGGTATAGGTAAGATGTTATTATCTTTATTATTATTAATTCTCCTCCTTCTCCTTGTCCTCCTGACATCAATCTAAGCCTCCTCCTATCCCATATATTGCGCCCCCCCTTCGTTTAAAGTTCGTATCTTTTCTTTTTCGGAGGAAAGCTTTTCAACAGGGAAATGTTCTCTTTCCAAAATTATAGTTAATAAGTTATATACAGTATTTACATTAGTCGGACTATTGTCCTCATCTTTGTCGCCATATTTGTCACAACGTTTCGGCCGTTGTACGCTCCGGCCTTCTTCAGGTGGTTGGAATTTCGAACTGAACCCTTTATTTCGATCGCTGGGGTAGACTGTTCTAATTCCACGTGCCATGTTTGATGGATGTCAGTTATCAGTTATCTCCTGCTAATTTTCCCTCTGAAAGTTCTCCACTGCCTTAACCAGGAATTGAACTCACCTTCTTTGGGTCTGTCACTGGATCTAACCAACGCCTTTATCCACTGTGCCATGTGTCCTACCCCAGCGATCGAAATAAAGGGTTCAGTTCGAAATTCCAACCACCTGAAGAAGGCCGGAGCGTACAACGGCCGAAACGTTGTGACAAATATGGCGACAAAGATGAGGACAATAGTCCGACTAATGTAAATACTGTGCATAATACCTCATCTCAGAAATATAGACAAACTCTAATAAGTCATAGTTTATATATTATATATATATATATATATATATATATATATATATATATATATATATATATATATATATATATCAAGTATGTGGTGCAGTTCAATTTACATTACATGAATCATTCATACAAAAACAGATATAAAAGTTAATGATTTAAATGGCGAGAATACATCTTCGCAAACAATTTTAATAAAGTACATTAACCCCGAACCTTTATATTTTAATAAAGGTTCGGGTTAATGTAAAATTGTTTGCGAAGATGTATTCTCGCTATTTAAATCATTTACTCTTCTCCTCATCCTTTCTTCTATCACTCCTATCTGATCTTGCTCCAAATTTTCTGTAACCCCTTGCGTCCTAGTGGCTTCCCGCCTTGCTTGGGGTGAAACGCTTAATATATATATATATATATATATATATATATATATATATATATATATATAAACAAAACAAAAAAAACAAACTTATTTTAACCTGACAACAGAAGCATATTGATTAAAGAAAGAAAAAAATACCTCCATATGCTAGTGGCACTCACGCCTTGCTTGGGGTGAATTGCCTTAAAAAATACACGAACTTATGTAAATGTTTAGCAGAACAGGGATTACGAGAGCTAGCGAAAAGACATTTTTACTAAGAGCTACATAGGACAGGAAATTGTGGAGAGCCATGGCCGCCTACGTCAAGAAGAAGAGCAACAACAACAACGTAGCTTAGGTAAATGCTTCACAGTACAGGGATTACGAGAGCAAGCGAAAAAACAAAATTTATTAAGAGCTACAAAAAAATAAAAGCAGTTGACCGTAGTCGGGGTCATCGCTTCGAGATCATTTCCCCTCAAGGTTACGGAATCCAGTCTGTCCTGATATTTAGCCATAGCTGGAGGGGAAGAGATGGATTCATCCCTTTCTCAAGCGTATTAGCATTATACGCACTAATTTTGCTGCTCATTTATTTTTTGTTCTAGTAATGCTGGAAAATCTCATCACAGATGGCGAAGAGACTTGATGTAACGGAAATGGGTTCTACAGAAGGATGCTGAGAATAATATGGATACATTTGAGCAATGAATAAGTTTTGTTTCTTTTTGAGAAAATAGAAGAAATAAGGATATTTGTAGTTAAAATCAGAAAGACATAACTTGAATTTCTAGGGCACGTAATAAAGAAAGAGGACTTGAAAAATTTGACACCGAAAAACATACTGAAGACAAGCAGGACAGAAGAAATCAGCGTTTAACCGAATAAACGAGATTATGTAAATGTTTGGCAGAACACGGATTATGAGAGCTAGCCAAAAGAGAGTTTTTACTAAGACTACAAGGAACAGGAAAATGTGGAGAGCCATGATCGCCCACGTCAAGAAGAAGAAGAGCAACAACAAGAACAACAACGTAGCTTAGGTAAATGCTTGACAGAACGGATTACGAGATATAGCGAAAAGACATTTTTTACTAAGGGCTACACAGGACAGGAAATTGTGGAGAGCCATGATCACCCACATCCTGAAGAAGAAGAAGAAGAAGAAGAAGAAGAAGCGTATGTAAATGGTTGGCAGAACAGGTATTACGAGAGTTAGTGAAAAGACATTTTTTACTAAGAGCTACAAAGGACAGGAAATTGTGGAGAGCCATGATCGCCAATGTTTTTAGGGGACACGGCACATAGGTGAAGAATATTATTATATTCATCTTCTATGTAAATTTACTCTTTTCTATTTTTTCTTTTATTCAGTTTTTCGTATTTCCTTTCTTCAAGGATCAATGTTTATTTTTCTCTTATTTTTCTCTTCTTGGTTCAAAAAGGTGATTTTCCTTTAAATCTCATCTTTATTTTTTCTCTCCTTCTTTTTTTTTCTTTTTCAACCGAAAACGAAAAGAAAAACAAAGCAAAGAGTAAAAGAAAACGACCCTAGAATTAACTGTAAACAATGATAATAAATAAATAGATAAAAGTGAATAAAAAAAAATGGCAGAAAACGGTTCCGCGACAGATCCACTTTGCTGTCCTTGGAGACGTCAGAATACATTAGACACTAACTCTCAGCTGAGTCAAATCACCCACTCAAATGAGGCGTCTAGGGACCGTAAATGATTACCGTTATACTTACACTAAATTGATAGACCACAAGTACCACCATCTTAGCCAGCTGAACTCTCAATTGAACGAAAAACGAGAATGAGTGGATGAGAAAGCAGAACTGATGTCTGGCACAGCTCAGTATCAAGGAACCCAGATAACCGTTCTTGTAATAAATAAGCAGTGTCTAAGACTCCCTCCCCTCCGCTTAGCTTTTAATGCAGATCTACTTCATTTTATTAGTTTATGATTTATCGACAGTCACAATAATGCTACTGGCGACACGTTGCTGTACGTGCGTGTACGCATGCGCATATATTGCATATGCACGGAATCATTTAAATTCTGGTGGTGGGTCGGTAAAGTAGTCGCTTGTAAAAAAAAAAAAAGAATGAAAAACTAAGAAACAAAAGTAAAATGTAATAGAAGAAAAAAAAAACTATCAACTCCCTGCTGCTTGACCCTCGCCTCGTTCATTTCTACTGATAAATAAAAAAAAGAAGTGAAATCAGGCAAAAAAATAAACATTTGAGGAAGTTAAACAAATTAACTTACGGAGGGGATTTTAATATATTGTGTTTTCTTTTTCTTACTACGTGATATTTAACATTTTGCTGGTTGTAAGAAAGCAAAACAAATAAAAGCAGGTCT